TGGTTCTTTGGTGATGTGGTAGAATGTCCCAGTAGATAGTTCTGTCAAAAAAGCGAGTTAAAAATCGTATTATAAATATTATTTTAAAATATTCTAAATGTATGTTTTATTCTTTCTGTAAATATGTAGTTTATTAGAATGCCAGGGTATCTTACAGAATCAACAGAAGAGGTAAATAACCAAGCTTCAGGAAAGCAAGAAGAACTGCTTTGAGGACCTCAGATATGGATTCTGGAACTCTAGAAAGCCATAGAGAGGCTCAGCTCTTCAAATCTAACACTTAATGAAAGTTGGTTCGATTCTTTTACTGCTGGCAGTCTTTGCACGTGGCAGAGCAGTGGTGCTAACAGTCTAGTTTTGACACCAAAAGGAAGGGAAGGGGGTTTCTAGCCTCACCCTCCAATGACAAAATGCTAGGAGATGACTGTTTGGCACACTTTGAATTATATGCATATCTCTTGACCAAATCACTGAGGCCTGGAGGAATCAGGTACTTCAGACAGTTGGCTTAGCTTGAGTCAGGTGCTTGCCTCTTGGCCAACTGTGGGGACCAGGTGTGTCCCAGGTGTGTCCAGGTGCGTGGCACAAATGACTCCTCCCCTTCTAATTACACCTCTAGAAGAGTAGAGGCAGAGCAGAAGCCAGGGAGGAGGGGTAGTTCTGTCCCAGAAGAAAGGAAGTGTGCTGGGTGGACAAAATAAACATTCTCTACATATACTTAAGTGAGAAGCAGAGTTAGCAGGAAGGACATTTGAAAATTAAATAATGAATCTTGCTGTCTCTTCCTACATGTAAGTTGAGAAGGGAATATGTATTTTTGAGAAAGCTTCCTAGGAGTTTATTGTATATATCTTAAACATGGAGAATCCCCCTCTTCTATAAAGTGTTTCATATGTAACAAAAAATAAATGTGTATATAACTAGGCATCATAGGCCTAAGGGTAATACTAGGGAAATAAGAGTGCATACATCCAATGAATCAAAGTTTAAATAAATAGAAAATAAACTAATGTGGAGTTTCCCACGCTTTCAGTTGACTGAGGTGGTTTTGTGTTAAACTGTCTTTGGTGTTAACATTTTTTGTTTTGTTTTGCTCTCTAAACTCGATTTATCTGCAAATCTACAAATATTTGAATTATGTAAATATCTGAGTGGAAAAACACATTTTGTTCATATGATCTTGAGAAGGAACTTAGATCCTGGCATCTCATAAGGTGTTACTCTTTTTTGCCCTTGGGGCTTTTAAGTGACTATACAAAAGAGGTCTCTCCAGTTGGTATGCCAGAGAGATCAGGCACCTCTGATTTTAAAATAAAACACTGGAAAGAAAGCCTCTTGGAGGAATAACAGCATGCACAGAATCACGACTCTGTTATTAGTCTCTGTGCAGAGCGGACAAAACTTGCATTCCAAAGCTGCCTTCCTTGCTCCAGTTCCTTTCTGTGTAAAGTATGTCACATGAACCACACTTGTGCCCTGTGCCTCAATTTAAAGCTTTCTTTGGAAAGTTTTCCCAGATTGATTGCTCATTGACGGAGCAGCTCTGGTTCCCAATTCGCTTAATAAGTACATCCTGTCTGAGCGTGTTTTATTACCGAATGTTACCCACGTTCTGATAACAAGGGGACGCCGTGTCCGCCCCTGGTGAACTCACTGCCTGTCCCAGAAATATAGCGTGACTGCCCTCCCCGCCGGGGTTGTGAAAGTGGAAGCCGGGCGCCGCCCTCCAGCACCTGCGCCTCCCGCCTGGCGAGGGTCGCCCGTGGCACGAAGTGCGTGCGACCGCGGCCCGGCAGGTCACGCAACCCGGGGCGGTCCCGCCGCCTGCGTGCCGGCAGCCGGCCGCCCCGCCCCCGCCGCCTGCCTTCGCCGCTTTCGTGCACACTCGGGCTTCCTGGCGAGCCCGGAGCCCGCCTCGCGTGCCGACTCGGCCGCGTAATCCGGCGAGGAATCCCAGATTCCGCCCGGCCCCTGACGCCCTCCGCCGACCTCAGCGCGCGCGACCGACGCGCTCACGTTAACGCCGGGAAGTTTCCATTCCCGCCGTTGTACAGCAAACACCTCGGGCTGCGGGACGAGGGAGCAGGGCAAAGCGGGCGGGGGCCGGCGTCGCCCCCAGACTCCTCACAGCCTCGCTCGACTCCTCGGCGCTGGCTCGCCGCCTGCAGTGGCTGTCCGCTCCGTCGGGCCGCCTTGCGCCCCGCGGGGATCGCGCCGGCCGAGGCAGGGGCGGCCCGCCTGGGGCCAGGAAGCCCGGAAAGGGGCCCTCGCCGAGCAGCCTCCGCGGCGCCCGGCCACAGCCGGGCTGCCTGGAGCCCGGAGCCGGGTGCGCGCCGACGCCCCGGGCGCGCGCGGGGGGCGAGTTTCGTTGCCCGGCGACTGACCCTAGCGACCCGGCGCCCTCTGTGGGGGAGGAGCGGGGGCACGGAGGGCCGCGGCCCGCTGCGGCTGAAAGGAGCGCGGGGCAGGTCGGAGTCTTTGTTCACGTCTGGGGGTCGTTTGGTGATTTTAATTTAAAGAGACAGGGTCCGGCTCTGTTGCCGGGGCTAGAGTGCGGTGGCGTCAGCATAGCTCGCTGCAACCTCAGACTTCCGGGCTCAAGCCATCCTCCCGCCTCGACCTCCGGAGCAGCTGGGGCTCCAGGCGCGCACCGCCACTCCCGGCTAACTTGGGGGGCAGGCAGGGGGGGTGCTGTCTTCTAAACAATGGGATTGGGGGCGTAATTATAAATAGGACGGCTTCGTCGAGCCTGGAAAGCGCTGGCGGGGCGCGTCCGCACGAAGGGTAGGGGCGGGCGCGCCGGCTGCCGGGCCCCTCTCACGCTACGCCGCGTGCAGGCGAGGGAAGCGCGTGTCGTGACGACTGGAAATGAGATCAGTTTGAATAACCACAGCGTCGGGGCTGGGAAATGCAGCCAGTCACGCAGCCGTTGCCTCGGCCCGGCGCCGGCTCTGCCCGGGTGGCCGCGGCCACCCCGCGCGCAGGCTCCAGCCCGGGGAGCTGGGAGTGGATCAGCCCCTTCCGAGCGGCCGCTGGTGGGGGCGTCAGGATGTTTCTAGGGGCAGCGAGGGCGTAGGGAGCTGGAGAAGAAAACCACACAAAGTGCTGCTTTGCACGGTTGGGGGCTGCATTCTGTGAGCAAATTGGCTTTCCAGAAGCACACTGAAAATCACCCCTGTAAATCAGTGTCTCTTACACTTTGCCCGGTAGGTAACTGTTTAAAAAACCACTGTAACACTGAACTCAAAGGTCATTAAAACGTGCCTTCAATTTGTTTATATTACTTCGTTTAACAGGCAGTACACACGGCTTGCATATGCGTGCATGAAATTTAATTTATACAGTCAAGTCTGGAAGCATAGTTTGGCAAGAGGAATAATTGTGAGTTCAGTAAGAGAGTCAGGGTACAGTCATTACTTAAAAGGACAAATAAACTAAAAAAAAAAAAAAAATTCAGCCCATGACACGAGGAAGCTATTACATTCATCTTTTCATGGTCCTGAACATCTTGTACCAACTCAACAATAATAACCAACGGAAACTTCTAATTAAACACAGAAAACACAAGTGTTTAGCTGTACAAGCAAACATCAAAAAAGTCTTATGTTATAGAAGCATGACATAAGAGAGCAGTATATCTTTCAAATTTTTGTATTTCAGTTATGTTCTTAGTTTATATGTGACTCACTAGTAGGTGTGTCACTATAAAACAAGAGTAATCACGTGCAGAAAAATCTGTGCTCTAAATTTTAAATTTTTGTTACCAGATTTTTTTTTCTTTTACAGATTGTAATTGATGTGAGTTCAGTAAGGAAATGGGGACTTGAGCCCAAGTGCCTAGCAAACTGCATCAAATTAATAGTTTGAAGAAAGAAATAAGTGAATGAATTATTGGGTAGGCAATACCCTCTAATGTTTAGAGCTCTGAACTAAAGCGTCGTGAGTGAGTATTGCCAGCCCTGCCACTGACTCATATGTGATCCTGGTATGATAGGAATATAACAGCATACTTAACCTCACCAGAGGTGTGGGACTAACTATTCTTCATTCACCACAGGTGGCTTTGAGTTCCTCGGAGGAAGATGATACATTCAATTATTATAAAAATAATACTCCACTGTTGTGACAACGTATGCCTAAAATTACAGAAGTATAAGATAATTTTTTTTTTTTTTAGACAGAGTCTTGCTTTGTTGCCAAGGCTAGAGTGAATGCCGTGGCATCAGCCTAGCTCACAGCAACCTCAAACACCTGGGCTCAAGCAATCCTGCTGCCTCAGCCTCCCAAGTAGCTGGGACTACAGGTATAAGCCCACCATGCCCGGCTAATTTTTTCTATATGTATTAGTTGGCCAATTAATTTCTTTCTATTTATAGTAGAGACGGGGTCTTGCTCTTGCTCGGGCTGGTTTTGAACTCCTGAGCTCAAGTGATCCTCCTGTCTCGGCCTCCCAGAGTGCTAGGATTATAGGCACGAGCCACCGTGCCCGGCCCAAGATAATGTTTAAATACAACAGTGCCACCACTTTTTTTTCCATTTGTACATAGTCTATCACATACTGAAATATAATGTAGAAGGCTGTATCCTAACCTAAAATATTTTGCATACAGATGCTTTGTTGTTGTTTGACTGATATTTAATGATATGCAATGAAAGTTTTAAATAATCAGTATTGTTATACTTAACTAATAATACATTTTATTAGCAATATATGGTCAGTAATATACATAATGCTATGATGATAGTATATTATTACATAAATAGTATTATAGTAGTATTTGTGTGATGGTATTTTCTTTCTTTCTTTCTTTCTTTTTTTTTTTTGAGACAGAGTCTCACTCTGTTGCCCTGGCTAGAGTGCCAAAGCATCAGCCTAGCTCACAGCAACCTCAAACTCCTGAGCTCAAGAGATCCTCCTTCCTCAGCCCCCCGAATAGCTGAGACTACAGGCATGTGCCACCATGCCCAGCTAATTTTTTCTATTTTTGGTAGAGATGGGGTCTCACTCTTACTCGGGCTGGTCTAGAACTCCAGAGCTCAAATGATCTGCCTGCCTCAGTTGCAGGCATGTGTGATGGTATTTTCTAAGACACCATGTGTGATGGTATTTTCTAAGACAACTTAATGTTCTGTCCTATGAAGTACCTAGGAGAAGACTACATTTTGATGACTCTTAACTTGACAATGTAGAATCTTGAAGGCGAGGGACCTTCTTGGTGTAATTATCTGTCGCTGAATGGCTGAAAGTCTAGAATTAGAGATTTACTGAAGCAACATACTAAGAGACCTACAGTGTGTCAGGCATTGTTCTAGGTGTTGGGGATAGAGCAGTCAACAGGCTGATTACTTAATGTTTAAATGTTTTGGGTCTCTGTTTAAATGCAGATCACTTTAGGAGCAGCAATGCATTGCACATAGCTTTGTGAAAATATAAGTAGAGGGCCCTTCAGAGGGAAAGGAAAAGTCATGATGGAGGGGCCCTCTGGGAAGGGAGTTCAGGATAGGACAGTGGTAGGCAGTTTTAACTGGATTCAGAAGGCAAATACCAGTTTTTCTTCAATCTTTCCTATTTAGAAAATCACATAAAAAAGCAAACAATACTCTGCTTTCCATCATTCTCCCTATAAAAGTTGCCCTCATCTTTTTTAATGCCCTCTGCCATCTCTTTGAGGCTATGTGTGCCAGTTTTGCCCAGTACCTATACACTTGTGCACTTTGCTTACTGCATAGAGATGCCTAGTGAAGGAGTTGGGTAGGCACTGAACTCCAGACCTACCTTCACCTGCCAAGACGTGTTATACATCCACCTAGGAAGGGGTATCTGTCTTTTTCTAATTTGAACAAGGTACCACAGGGCTTCAGTACCTCTCTTTGTTCCTCAGAGTTCTCAGGCAGCTAGATCCCATCTGCCCCTGTACATGTATTTTCTGGTTGAATTTAATAGTATTGCTCTGCTATGAATCAAAAGATGGGGAACATTGGGGGACAGGGAGAAGCCAAGACTGAAGAAGTGAACCAACCCCTGTCAGCTTCTAAGATGTCTAATTAATATCTGGATAAAAGAAGACTAGCTGAGGCATGAAGATGCCATGTGAAATGTTCTGCAGTTGAAAGAAAGCAATGATAGAACAACAACCTGCCTTTTCAGTTTTAGCAAACTGGAAGAACCGTCGGCACACAACAGGTTACCTCAGTTTTGCACTGCAACTGGCAAACGTGATACAGTCAGATAGCTCAACCTTTTGGTGGAGCTCATTTGTAGGATTTGATAAAGGATATATGTCCTGCTGAACCCTGGGGATGGACTTGGGATTAAAGTGTTTTTTCCTTTCCTGTTGTTAGCTTTTCTGGTCTGTTGACATTGTGTCACGTTGCAGAGACTGCCGTGTCAGGATGTAGTGACCTGATTAGTCCAAACTCCTGCAGGGGAGACGTGCAAATAGATGAGCCCCAACAGGACCTGAAGAACCACGTGGTTTTGAAATCCTGGGTGGATGGGCCACACCCTGCATACACCTTAAATCTCCTGGTACTTTGAAGGTACCATTATTGCTTAACAACTCCAGGGACAAAGTTAATTAGATCTTTGTATGATTTGATTATCATAAAGTAAGAGTTTAAATGTAACTTATTAAAATGTGCAAATGTGTATGTAATATAAATATATAAAACAAATTTGGAATTACTGTCATATAAAAGCATAAAAATGATCCAACTGGATTAACACCTTTTATAATATATTTCTTTCTATTATAATAATAGTTAAGCAGTTAGTTTTATAAGTTAACATATAGGTGAAAGCAAATGAAGGAATCTTATTATTCTGTACTACACAATTTATCATTTCACTTATCAAGTTAATTATTTCTATGGTATTTTAAAAATTAATTATTATTTACAAAACCTCTTGAGTGTTGCTTTCAATTTTATGTGGTTTCAAGATGGGAAACATTAATAAGTAAAGTATTCCATAAGGCCTGCCTCTACCAAAAATAAGAGCAATTAAAGCAATTGTGGAACTTTACACATAGGAGACAACATGGTAAATATGGTATTATTACTCTATTATGGTATTATTGCTCTAAACTGATGTATATAATCCCCCATGTTGAGACAATAAACATAGCATGCAATAGATTGTTCATCTGTTGATATTTGCATTGCTAGTACCACCCAATAAGTGGTGATGGTTGAATGAATCAATTAATGAATGCATAGAATCGAAAACCCTAAGAACTAATCTAAGTGCTCCACCTAATCCTTAAACCCTCCCTGTTTCTCTCCTGCTGAATGCCTTCCCAGATTATCGATGCTTTACGTGAGCAATAAGGAAAAAGGAAGTGACCCAGATGGGAGCCTCACTGTGGTCAGATGTCTCTGAAATGAGCAAAGTATTTGCAGATGTTTCAACAAGTGGAGGGGTTAGGCTAAGTCTAGGCCACAGGAAACAACTTCCACACCTTGAGGCTACTACAATAAAGGTATCATCACTCACCAGCACAGAATTCTGTTGGAGACTTGAAAAGGCACTCAGGGTTGGAATGCTACATGAATCCAGACTTGCCTCAGGAATGCCACAAGTGATCAGAACTAAGGATAGAAATGAATGTGATTTGTAAAAATAGCAATAAGGATCATGGTTATCTGGGAATCAAATCCTTTAATCACTTTAGACAGAACTAATGAAACTAGATGAAACCATCATTGATTTTGAGAGTCATCTTCTAAATTAGTTGGCCTTTGGCTTTTGGAGAGCAAAGTTCAAATTCCAGTTCCTGTCTGACAGGAAAATAAGTCAGACACAAAGTAGGTAGTCTTTTAGACTCCATACTGAAACAGCAGGTCTTAAAGGAGGTCTGAGTTTTAAAGAATCTTTGTTTTCAGAGTTACTGAATTCAGAATTGCTAATGCTATATTTTTCATTCTGCCTTTTGAGGCTGTTTATTTTATATATTTACCTTTGTTGGCCAATCTGTTCAAATGTAAGTAAAAATTTTGTATTTTATAATGGAAAAGTTCTAAATTCTGTGTTTTGTAAATGCCCTCTTTTGAAGTATGTTAACTTTCTAGTAGCATAGTGAACAATGGGGCCCATGATTATAGGTAACTACTTCTTAATAAGATAATAAGATGCAAAGGCACCTTAAAAAGTGCTCTGGACTAGGCTAGGCAATTTAATAGCTTTGTGGCCATGTCATATTACAATCTGAGCCTATTTTCTCATCTCTAATATGGTAACAATTGGAGAATGGTTTTGCTTTTGGCTCAGTGAGCAAGAAAGAGATTATTTTCTAAAACAATTATCTGAATGCCTGGTAACATTGAATTTGTTCCCTAAAAATCCTAAACTATTAAAGTGGAAAGAACTTATAGGAGCATACCTATGGACACTTGACTCCTAGAGACAAGTTTTTTATCACCCCAAAATGAAAGTTGTAAAAAGAAATTATAAGGAATGGAAGAAAATGCTAGCACTATTACTAAAATTGCCCAGCATATTTGGAAGGTAGAGAAAAAATAATTAACATTATTGGAGAATTATAAATATGTTGCTATTCTAAGTGAATTGCCCTTTTTGAATACTGGAATACAATATAAACAGGCCATATGCCAATGCTGGCAATAAATCCTTTTGTCTTTTTTTAAAACCAAAAATCCTCCACAGGTGTATCAGACTTGCTAAGTCACCCTATTGTAGAATTAGATTATTAGAAAAGGAAGAAACTTGAATGTCATCAATATCAAATTCCTCATATTACGAAAGAGGAAGCAAATTCAGAGAGATTAATTTATTCAAAATTGATTTATTCAAAAAACTATTATTATTATTATTGCAGGTATTATGCAAGGCACCAGTATTGGTCTGAGGGTTCAACAGCAAACAAGACAGATGTGGTTTCTTGCCCTAAATCACACAGTTAATGGAGGAGCTGGAACCAGAAACAAGTCTGTGGATCTCTAATTAAAAGATTTCCATTAATCAATTGCTGACTCTATACTAGGCCCTAAGTGTTTCACCTACATTAAGTCATATAATCTTCACTAATTTGTAGTAGGGTAGAACATGTCTTCCCACTCCTGTCTCCTTCCATGTATAGGGAGCTCCGTTACCATAATAATCCTTCCTCATTTACTCTGCCCAAGTGGAGAGTGACTTATCTGAGTTTGGAAAGAGTAACACAGCATGAGTAATCCAGCCCCTTCCCTTCTCTTTTTTTCCAGGGGAACTGAGCTGTCTGAAGGCAATGTTTGTTCAGCTTTGCTCTTCTAGGCACTAAGGACAACAAGGGCAGAAGGAGGCCTTTTCAGATCTTGTGATCCAGTAGACAAGTCTCATACTGGGGTTTAAAAATTGGAAGCCCACTTTCCCACAGATATCAGCTTTCTCATCAATAAAAATCTCTATGCATATGTGTGCAAGAGAGAAGCATTTCATGTAAATAAGCAACTGTGTACTATCATTATTTGAACCATCTAAAACCAGCAGAGTTCTAGCCAGTATGCAGGCTGTCACTCACCTTCTGACCCCCTGTGCCACAGCACCCAAGAAATGGTGTCTTAAAATAATATCAACATTACCTTCTAAAGAGCTCTGGCCCAATTTCCATGATTTCTAAAATTGCAAAAGTCAGGTGTTGGGCTTTTGGTAGACAAAGTGGTGAAATGAAAAGAGCATGAAATTTGTAGTATTAGAAAACCTGGATTTGAGTCTACTATTCAAAGTCTGTAATTTTGAACCTCTGTTTATTCCTCTAACAACGCAGGTTGCCTTGCTGAGCTCACATGGTTGGTTAAGGTCCAAAGAGGATAATGGGTGTGCAAGTGCTTTGTAAACTATAAAGAACTATAAAAATATTAGTTGTTTTACAGATTTAAGAGGCAATCCTGTTCTCATTCATACTTAGGTTTTAAGCTTGACTTTATACACAGGTGGTTGAAGAGTTAGGTGGCTAATAGCAGCCTAGATGATTATTATTTAAAGGCTGAGAATTACTCTACCAACTAAGCTCTCCCCTCTTCCAACCAACATTACTTAATTTAATTTTTAAAGAAGAAAAGCCTCTCTTTCATTGCTGTCTACATTTCTACCATTAAATATCTTTTGCATTAAGCACTCTGTCTCCCAATGACCTCCTTTGAATTTTGAGCAAGTTTGTAAAATATTTTCCCACTAGGAAGAAGCAGCAATACACTTAAGAATTAAGGTGTGGGGGGAAGAGAAAAGTAAAGTTGAAGGCAGGTAAAAGGCACAGAAAAGTCTAGGCTATAAGTTCCAACCAAAAGTATTAATAAAGAAACTGAGGAAGGAGCAGAAGGTAACCAGGAGCAAAAACATCTTTTTGAAGTGGCACCTTTTCCATAAATTGTTTTAAGGCTTGCTCCCTTTGATGAATGTACCATATCTCAACTTGAGAGTCATGAGAAATGGATTCCAATCTGCCTCTGTGACCATCCAGCTGTGTGACCTTAAGTATGTAATTTTTCCTTTCTGGGTCTCCGTTTCCTTATCTATAAAATGAAATCTTTGGACAAATGTTTTCTAAAGCCATTCCAGAACAAATATGCTGTCACTCTAGTCAAGATGCAAGATCCCGTGATATTTTCTTCCCCTTTCAACATTTAAGTCTCACCTTCCCTTGGGGGAAAATAATTATCTTAGAAATGTCCTAAGAAGTAGTAGTAGTAGCAGTAGTAGCAGTAGTAATGTGTAGGCAACAATGGTAAAGTTATAACAGAACATCATAGGCCAAGGAGAAGCATTGCATAAAAATGAAAAAGAGTAATTAAGCAGTTGTATACTGTCATATTTGAACCATTTCTACTTATAACCAAAAACCACCCCCAAGAATTTGTTCCAATTATAGTTGTATTCTGATGTGTTCACAGTTCAGTTAAAAAACAGTTGAGCCCTCCAAATCATACTTAAAATATTAAAGAATATATACCAGCATTTAAAGCAGACTCCTAGCTTAAAAGCAGATAGGCTTCTTGACAATTGCTTTAAGTCAATAAGGAAACAAATGAATAAAATATTTGTAAGTCGTTAAATCCTCAAAACAATGACATTTTTCTCCTATGTGTGGGGGACAGATTCTCCATGTTTTGTGCATGGTGATAATTCTGTTTCCTGCATAAGTAATTTTTTTTTAAAAAAAGCAATAACAAAAAGAGTTCAACCACATATTTTGGAGTTTTAGAGTAAAATTTTATTTAATAAACACCAAAGCTATCAGATAGTTATGAAAGCACATGAAAAACACAGGTATACCAGGTATACCTGTTGGTTCCAGCAGATTTTCTTGATGGTTGCTATTGAATCAGTGGATCCCTCTTTCCAAATTGTTTTGTTCTTAATTTCTTTTTTTCACTTAATATATCTTGAAGGTCATTATAGTACATTCATTTTTCTACATTTTATGGACATACCATAATTTATTTATTTAATTCCCTGTTGATTGACATTTAGAGATTTTTTTTTCCAAGTGTGCCAGTATATCTGTAGGACAAATTTCTAGACTTGGAATTACTTTGTCAAGGGTGTGTACATTTGTAGTTTTGGTAGACATTGTTGAAGATTTGTATATTGCCACTTCCCCTCCCCACTCCCTAGCAGTTGAGAATGTTGCAATGTAATGACTGATATTACTGACAATGGAAGTGTCTGTAACACACGTGAACAGTGTGGAGGCGGAAAACATAGAATCACTGCCCCCCCCCTGGCTTCTTTTGGTCAGTATTTTCGATTCATTGAAGAGAGAATCTGCTTGACAAGGCTTGTCACGTTAAGTCAAGCCTTCTCAGGGTCTCTCAGAGTCACTAGTCCAGGGTTATTACCAGCTTTGGGTCACAGACTCAACTAGAGTCTGGTCTGGTGGCTCAGGGTCAGCATGAGCCTGGGGATGCCTATCTAGCACGGGCACTTAACAGAGCAGGGTGTCTGAGAGGAGCCTTGGATGGACAAATACTTGGATCAGCATATCTATAAGGTCAAATATGATCTCTGTTTCCCCAGGACAGTCCCCATTATGTGTGTACGTAATTACTAATAGCACTCCCTTTCATACTCAAAAGTGTCCCAGTCTGGGCTATAACTTACTAACATCACATGAGGTGGGGCAATTCATACTGTGTTGTAAGGAGCCCCCGGAGGTTTGTAAAGATGCCCAGGGAGAGACTCTCAGTGGGAAAGGGAGAGACCAAGCTGGTGGGATTTGGGTCCTATTGCTACTGTCTAATGTGACAAAGAGGAGCTTAGGCTTATAATAAATGGACACATTGCTACCTAATAGGAGTTAGATGGTTCTTGAAACTTTTAAATCAGATGTACTTGTCTCCCCTCTACTGATATATATGTACTACTGGGCATTTTCTCCACCAAAATAGATAATTGAAATTCCATTGAGGCAGTAATCCCTTGACCTCAGCAGATATAATATCCACACTCACCACTCATTTGACAATTGAGATGGGGCCAGGCCTTGAACTAATGGACAACTCATGGCTTTTAGCAAGAGCTTCTCTGGCAGCACTTTCACCCCATGCAGTCAGACTGTGGAGACTGGGCTGGGTGAGAGAATGGGTAAGAATGACATTTTGAGTTCAGTTCAAAGATGCTTTACTTTGATTTAAGTACTTCCAAAGCTCCATGTGAGCAGTGTAAAGGATAGACATGAGGTAAGGCAGATGCAGCTGTCCGTTGTCTCCTTTGTTTTCCACAGAGTCACCATAAATTTGGTGGTCTTGGCAGCCTGAAGAGAGTGAGATGTCTGGGAGGTCAGGGGAGTCCAAAAGTGTGGGCTCACTATCTTTCATACCGCCAGCAACATCAGCAACCAGAAACAGTGTATGCTACCAAATACAGCACAAATTTAGTTGCTCAGCAAGCTGCTCCATTCAGGCTGATGTCCAGATTCCAGACCTTGAAATGCTTGCCATGCCCAGCCTGGGGCCGTCTCTCCTTATCTGCACCTGGGCAGCAGGGTGTAGGAGTTTTCCACTTATTTTGCAGGCAGGACTGTCCTTGGTCTACCACAAACTTATTTAGCCTTTAAGTTCTCAAAGAAACTCTTGGCCTTCTCCTGAGTTAACACAGGCTAATCATCTGTGTTGATTCGATCATCTAATTCCACAGGCCAGGCTTTCCATTTTGTTAATCACTTTGCGTCATCTCTTGCTGATTATTCTTGATTGCAAAAGCCCAGCTCTTCAATTGCTGCCTGATTCTCTTTGTCCTTCAGAACTATTCCTTCTGTGAAACAGGTCATCCCTTACACACATGCAACTCTCGTCGTTTTTTCTTCATTTAAAATGTTTATTGTCTCCACTTTTGTTTCCATCATAACCATACGCATCCTCTTACTAACTCTTACAACAGTCTTACAGCCTTTGTACTTTCTGGACACAAAGGAGTCAAGAATGTTCATGTTCATAAAGTACCCCCAAATCTATGCACAATCATAGCAAACATGGCCAATGACTAATGGTAATGGCATCAGTCTTTGCTGAGCAAGACAGATGAACTTTTCTTCTGAAGCATAGTTTTGATGATATGTGTGGAAACACACTGGTTTAAGGTTCTTGAAAAGAGAGGAGCTTCTTTTCTTCTTTCTCTGTTTTACTTTTTTCTTCCATTTCTATATCTCTCAACCAAAGATGGCTTCAGATCATTTGTAGAGTCCAAAGAACCTAATAATGGCTTGAGTGGCAGGGGAAAAAGAAATGAGTGGACTGGAACAGAACTGAAGCTGCCCTGCTATTAACATGAATGAGAAATTGACATACATGGGAAAACAACTTTCGCTGTGAACCACTAAAATATAAAGGTCACTTGTTATTGCAGAATGACTTAGCTTGACCTGACTGATACAACCGTTAATTCCAGAAAGCAGAGGGAAAGCGGCAATTAGGGATGTTTGGTAGGGGAAAAAACAGTCAAGGAGATTTGTGGCATAGACAGGAGAGTTAGGTGCCAGACATCAAGAAAACCTCAGAAGGGAACAATACAGGATCTGACAGGAAGATTTAAGACCAGAGGATCCAAATGGAACAAATCTTTCCCTCAGGAGATAATAACTTTCCTTCAGGAAATAGGAGGGTAGTGTTATGAACTAAATATGTTCCCTCTGAGTTCATATGTTGAAACCCTACTCCCCAAAGTGATGCTATTAGCATGTGGGACCTTTGGGAAGTAATTAGGATGAGATGAGATCAAGACAGCCGAGCCCTCATGAATGGGATTAATGCCTTTATAAGAGTCATGAGAGAGCTTGCTACTCTCTGCTCTCTGCCATGTGAGGATACAAGAAGTCAGCAGTCTACAACCCAGAAGAGTGACCTCACCAGAACCTGATGATATTGGCACCTTCATCATGGACTTCCAGCCTCAAGAACTGTAACAAATACATTTC